CCCGAATAGCAGGTGAATAGAAACACAAATGTTATTTTTATTTAATATTTATACGCATATTTTTCAAAAATCAAATTATATGTATACGCAAAGAACAAACAAAGACCCATGTTTTAAAATATTCGGGAAAATAATACCACATTTTTATCAACCGGTATATCCCTAATAGCCTACGAAACTGTTTCTATTCACCCCATTTTACGGTACTTTTAATGGGAAAAGATTTTTTTCCGTGTTATTTAAATGGAAAACTCTGAATGTTCACCGACACCTTTTTAAATTGAGCTAAAAATCCTGCCTTCCGTAGATATTTTTTTTCTCGGTTATTAGGTTCATTTTAACCCATAAATTCCATAGGTTAGTTTTCTTGGCTCACCCTAGCGTCCCTTTTTGGTTGAAATTGTACTCTATCTAGCTGTTATTATAGAGTGAAAGAAGGATTCGATTTGCACAAGCCTGTTTCACTTTGTTGCAGGGCCGTATCTAGACCAAATTTTCGGGGGGGGGTTTGGCTTGGAGGAGGGGGGGGGGTACAAAAGCTGCTAGGAAAAAAGCATAATAAAAAAAATCGCTTTGGGCTACACTAAAATCTTAATTGAAAATAAAATTTTAAAAAAGTAACAGGTACAAATTATTAATATTAAAGGATAAACTGGTCTTTTCACTGAAAAAACGGTTGACTACCTCTTCGATATGGATATTTATTTCTCTATGTACGCTTAATAGAGCAAGTCCTGTCAATCGCTCCTGACCTGTAGAGTTACGTAGGAAGTTCTTCTCGCCTAATCTAATATAATCGTCTTATGCCACAACCGCACATGCGGCATTTAGCGAACTCCGAGCGCTCGTCAACTACCGAACGCTCGTGATCGGACTTCGCCTTTCCATCCACACATGCGGGCTCTGATAGCAACAACATAGAGACAAGCGCTCGTTCTCGTCGCCGATCGAGTCGCCGAACTCCGACTTCCTCATCACACACATAGGAAATCGGCGAAGCTTCGATCGGAGATCGCCGAATACCACATGTGCGGTTGCGGCATTAGGTTGAAAAAAGACCTTTCTGGAGTAGCTGTTGACACTGGTAGAGTTGCTAGGATCATTAATAAAATGTATATATTTGGAAATATACACTGGTTACACTCCGATTATCGTTTCGATGGCGTTTTTAGGTCGGTCGACTGCAGGTAGCTGCTTCCATTTTTGCCGCCACAAGGCTAGTTCTGCCGCTAAAGTGTCATAGTCCAAGAATCCTTTGTCTAATAACAGAACAATAACAACATTCAAAATCTTGTCCTTGTCAAACTTTTGCTGTTTTAAACACTTGAATGTTGAAAGTCGAAAATCGAAAATGACATTTGCTTTCAAAGTGGAAAAAATGAGGTTAGGATGTATAATGTATATTCATTAATGACTAAAGAATACATATATAAGGATAAATAGCACCCGAGACCAAACTGTGACCATTCTTCCAAACAGTGCCGTAGCACCTATTTTACTTAGCATTGCCGCTTGAAGGGATATTTATATTTTTGATATTATATGTTTTAACTAGGCTTATGGTGTATCGGGTGGTATCATACTAATTAATTACGAAAAAAACGTATTAAAATGTTGACAAAAGGTACATAACTAGTATCGACGTGTAGTACATATCAAGTACATATAATATCAGAAAAAGAATTATCGAATTCAATAAAAAAAACGCTAAAAAGGTGTAGGGGACTGTTTATTTCCCTATAAAACGTAACTTCTGGCTCTTTCTTATCATTGCGCCTTTTACACTTGAAAGCTGAACAAATTACCATTGTAATAAAGTTTATACAAAGTTCACTACACACAATCAACTATTAAAAATCGCTAAAATTGTCGCTGATGACCAGCTGATGATGTCGTTATGTCTAAAAAAAGTTGGCGTCTAAGGTCACAAATTCTGCTGCAGCCCATATATGGGCGTTACATGTCCTTGTATTCTTTAGTCATTGATATTCATCCATCTTCTTCTTCTTCTTTTTTGTTTCGTTCTTACTTGCTTACTTAATGATCCTTGCTTTTTAAAAATGTTCGGCCATAATTTCGGGGGGGGGTTTGAACCCCCAAAACACCCCCCCAGATACGGCCCTGCTTTGTTGTCAAACGAAAGATGCTGTAAACAAAATGTTCATAGCCCGCATTGTCTCTAACTGTTTCTAAGATACAGGGTATTTGTAAAAATTGGATCTCTGCTTGAGTAACTGCCCAACAGACAATAATTAATACAGGGTCCGGCAATAGTGCGTCGGGCATCTGTAGCTCCTGGAAAAAACTTAAGAATTTTGTTTTGTGCGAACCTAAAATATGTACGAGAATGTATTTCAGGAAAATACTTAAACTTCTATGGGGTGGTTCAAAAAAGTGTAAGTGGATCGGTATGTTTTTTTTAAAATGGAACACCCTGTATATTATTGCATTTTTAGCTTCCTTTCAGATCACTTTTACATAATCCTAAGATATATCGTTTTTATTTTACATATCGGAATATAGGGACAGAACTCAGAAGTGACACAATTTTTATTTTTTGGCGACTTTAAGAATGTGGTAGAAATGTAGCAGCAGGGGGTCCACCGAAACCAGTAAAATTTTGAAAGTGGTCCACGAGAAAAATAAGTTTGGGAACTACTGCTTTAGATGGTCTATACTTACTTTGCTATAAATATCGTAATTTTAAATCAAACAGGGAGTTCAAAATCTACGCCAAACTTTGTAAAAGATAAATTAATTTTTCTTTGTTTTTTTTAATAGAACTGTATATTATTTTTTTATTAGATGGAGAGTCAAAAAATGACCATTTTTTGTATTTAAAGTAATTCAAAATTTGTAATGGTTTCGCAGATACACGCAGTATTATTTCATATGGCTCTTTCAACGGAGAAAAATCATTGGGTGGCTTTGATAAAAATTTACTGTGGAAAATGTCGTATGAAAAAATATAAAACCCCGAATATCTGCAAAACCGTTAAAAACTTTGAAATACTCTAAATACATTAAAATGTCAATTTTTTAATTCTCCATCTATTGAAAAAATAATATACAAGGTGTTCTATTTAAAAAAACGAAGAAAAAATGTTTAATATTTTAGAAAGTGTGGTGTAGAATTTTGAACATTCTATATGATTTACGAACACTAGATAGAAAACTTTAAAAGTGTCCGTTTTTCGTGCCCGTGAGTGTATTTATTTTTAACCCCTCTTTTTTCCACTATTTTACAAGCGCAGAATTATTGAACACCCTGATTTCACAACTAAACACACTTTTTATCTATTTTTCGATAAATATTTTTTTGAACTAAACTAGATATTTATTGACTGATTTCTTTGATGTAGCTGGTAATTTTATGAGAGAATATGAACAAAGACATTAAAGTATGATTTTTTGGCAATTCCATTGTAAATAAACAGGATGCAAGATTTATTTTAAACAGTCTCATGGCGTACCTATATTATTATAATTCCAATGATTTCGCATGCTTTATATTCTTGTCATATATCTTATATCATTCGTAATGTACATATTTTAAATAATTTATTATACAATTTTTATATTAACTAACAAGGGACTTTCCATTGTTCGTTGTACGTAGAATTTTTTTCTTGATTGTCCATAATTTGTATAAATACCTAGGTACCTGAGTAAAAGAGACTTATTGAATATTGAATATTTTATTATTTCCTTTTTTGATTAATTCCAGTTTATAACTAATCAGTAAATCAATATAAGTTGATGAAAATGTAAAATTCGCAATTCCTGTTCTAAATGCATACCAAAATTAATCCAGAAAATGGAGAAAACCCATATACAGGGTCCTGCAACAATACAACAGTGCGCCGAACCTCTCTGTTGCATGTATTAATAAAGAACCAAGAAAGGGTACAGCCGGATTAATATGGGAAATCTGCCACCGCGGCTTTTTTTGACCTGCACTCATGGGATCGATTTGGTGTGGAATCAAAATAATTCACCTAAATTTTTTTTTATACGGTTTTTTTACATTTTCAAAAAAATCTTTCTTCAATTTTATTTTTATTTTTATAGTAAAATTCAAAATTAATTAATGATGATTTTTTCTAATTCTTAGAAGTCTAAGATATGAAAAAATAATATGTTTATGATTCTTAAACGAAAAGCTGATTTTTAGCGGAGGAAAGAAAATTAAAATCTTTATTTTTTTCACCTTTGTGAAATACTATGTCACTCACTAAAAATCGTCAGAAAATGTCTTTTATACTCCTTTACACTCAGGATTTTTTTGAAGTGGTGGAACAATATGAAAAAAATTAAAAACCCATTTTTTTCTAAAATCTTCTTGGACTCATTTTTTTATGATAATCTTATGCTTATTTTCGGCCAAGGATGTATTTTTAATGAAAACATATTTTCAACGCATTTTTTTAAACTAAACAAAAATATAAGTACGAATATCTAGTTAAAACGGAAGATTTTAGTTATTGTTTCGCCACTTCAAAAATTCCTGAGTGTAAAGAAGTATAAAAGACATTTTCTGACGGTTTTTAGTGAGTAGCACTAAAACTAATGGCCAGATTCTCGGGAGCCACAGTATTTTTGTGCCAAATTTGGTTGTTTTGCGGTTTTTGAGTTATCGTGTTACAAACGGACAGACACACCATAAAAATATTTTGTATTTATTTAGGTCATTTAATGGTCATAACTGTCGGTATGGTCGGCTAAAAATGCGTTTTAAGTAGATCCCACTAAATAATATATATCATAATTAAATCAAATAATAATTTAATATAATTAAATTATTGTGGTATCGATTATGACAGTGCTGAAATAATAGTGTTACGTTTTTTTTCAAGCGACATCGACACCTTGAAAATTTCAATGCGAGAACACATGGTTTCTTTCTTTTCAGTGTGAAGAGGGTATTATAAAATAAGTATATGTAGTTATGGTGGAGTGGGGGATCACGTAGTGAACATGCCAATTTTAGTTTTTTAAAGAGAATAAACAAAATAGTGAGCAGTGTTGTTTGATGACGACTGTGAACAATACCAGACTGTGATTTGTGAGTGTGGAGAATTGTTATTGAACTGTTGTTGGCAGGTACCTAATATAATATTTTTTTTTAAATACAAATTATAACTAGGTTTTATAAAATTGGTAATATTTCGTAAATATATAAATAATATTTTTTTGGCTAAGTTTAAAATGTTATATTTTTTTTATTTTTAGCCTCATTTCCTTGATTTCTTTAGCAAACTGTATATAAATATATCAACTTTAATTTGTAAACTCATTTTATTATAAACTTTAGGATTTGACTTATTATACAGGGTTAATCGAAAGGTTGTTTTTTACCTTAACTTTAAAACACCCTGTGCAATAATTTCGTGAGCTAATTTTCCTAAAGCGTTATTTTATGGTCAGAACTATGTCTCCTGAGCATTTTCTTTTTTGACTCATGTCAATACATGCCTTAATACAATTTTTAAGAACGAAATGAACTTACCACAATTTTGCAATTTTTTCAATTATCGCTACTTTTTGATGTTATTCTTCTGGTGGCTTTGTGGCTTAATTATTCTTGTGTATGATTGAATATGGTTCTTGGCGTCGAAAATTGTGCAAAAGTCATTGATCTTGTCGAAGATGGCCGAAATTATGAATATTCGCTTGGCCCTTGAAGAAGAATGGGAAAACATAGTGACATAACAATATATTTGTAGCCTCATTAACATTATGGACCGACGACTTCCGACCGGACCAGCCAATGAAATTTTATACAGGGTGACAGTTTGAAAACGAACAGTATTTAATATTACCTCTATCGATGATAGTATGAAAATTTGGCGAAATACGTCAATTTACATATCAAGGGGGACAATTTTTGAGGTATTTGTTGTCATGTTACTTTCAACCCTTTGACCTCCAGGCCGCCTACCCCTAAAATTTTAAATGGTAACCCCTATTTCTTTTACCATTTTTGTATTATTTATAAAATTCCCAAGAAAATAATGGAGTTTATGTAGAATTCTATAAGAAACACAAAAATGGTAAAAGAAATAGGGGTTGCTTTTTAAAATTTTAGGGGTAGGTGCCCTGGGGGTCAAGGGGTTGAAAGTAACACGACAACAAATGCCTCAAAAATTGTCCTCCTTGATATTATGTAAATTGACGTGTTTCTCGCCAAAAATTTTCATACTATCATCGGTAGAGGCAATATTAAATACTGTTCGTATTCAAATTGTCACCCTGTATGTATATTTAGGAGGTCTGAGAATAGGTTGTTATCTATTTTTTATACCCCTAAGTGGTAAGGGTGGTCCACCCCATTTTTATTAGACAAATTTTTTTATTTTTATTTGTTTACGATGTGGCATTAAAAAATACACACAACTCTAAATTTTCAGTTGTTATGATGTGGCAATAAAAATGACTGTTGTTCCATAAAAAATATTTATTTGGCAAAACAAAGTTTACCGGCTCAGCTAGTGTTTCGATAAAGGGTTTAGCCGGATTAATATGGGAAATCTGCCCCGGCGGCTTTTTTAACTCGCACTCAAGGTCGAATCAAAATTTTAGCTCTTTAACTGAAACGGTTTTCGAGATTTTCAAAAAAACCTGTTTTTCAGTTTTATTTTTATTTTTAAAGGAAAATTCAAAATTAATTAATGATTATTTTTTTTTAATTCTTAGAAGTCTAAGACGTGAAAAAATAATATGAAAAATATAATAATATAATATAAAAAACAAAAAAATAATATGAAAAAATTAAAAACTCATTTTTTTTCTTAAATCTTTTATTTCAAAAATCTTCGGGGACTTTTAACAAAAATACGAGTTAGTTAAAACAGAAGATTTTAGAAAAAAATGAGTTTTTATTTTTTTTTCATATTGTTCCACTACTTCAAAAAATTCTAAAAAATTCCTGAGTGTGAAGAAGTATAAAAGACATTTTCTGACGATTTTTAGTGAGTGACATATTTCACAAAAGTTAAAAAAATGAAGATTTTAATTTTCTTTTCTCGGCTAAAAATCGGCTTTTCGTTTAAGAATTATGATCATATTACTTTTTCATGTTTTGATATCTAAGAATTAGAAAAAAAGCATCCTTAATTAATTTTGAATTTTACTATAAAAATAAAATTGAAAAAACAGTTTGTTTTGAAAATTTCGAAAACCGTTTGAGTTAAAGAGCTAAAAATTTAGGTAAATTAGGTATTTTGATTCGATACTAAATCGATCTCTTGAGTGCGAGTCAAAAAAGCTTCTTAACAGATTAATATTCCTAACCACAAACCTAGAAAATTTGCAAAAAATCCGCATAAAAAAGAAATGCTCTATATAAAAAAAAAAAAATAATATACGGAAAGGAATTTAAAAAATCTTTTTTATACATAGCTTTGAATAATCTGTAATAAACATTTTTTTGTTAAAATGGATATTGTAAATAATGTTTATCGTTCAGACCCAATATTATTACAAATTCTTGCCCATTTCGATTTGTGGTCTCTTGGGTTTCAGAAGAAATTTGACCATTGTTTTGGCCTTAACATGCCTAGAAACATTATTTCACAGTTTAATAGAGTCAGAATAGTAACACTGTCTCAACAGGGCTACCGGCAAGTTGCAATAGCTGAAATTGTAGGAGTTAACCAAACGATGTTTCGCAAATATTAAAAAAGTTCAGGGAGGCAAACAAGGTTACAGACCGGCCTGGAAGAGGTAGAAAGAGAGTTACTACTGCTGTGCAAGACCGTCAAATATCCCTAATTGCACGACGCAATCCCCTGCTTTCTAGTACTGCTTTTAAAAATGAGTTAGCTCGCCTTGAAGAAGTAAATGTCTCAAGGAAGACCATAGCAAGAAGACTCCATGACAGAGGATTACATTTAAGGAGGCCTCTACGTGTTCCGAAGCTTAATTTACAGCACAAAATTACGCGACTACAATGGGCTAAGGAGATGAGAGCAAATGGACCTAATTGGAATTGCGTCATGTTTAGTGATGAAACAAGAATAGGCCTAGTGTCAGACTCGCGACGAACTTTGGTCTGGAGAGCATCTGGAAGACGAGCACGCTTGAATGCAGCTCAACCCCGTGTCCCCTTTCAACGGGGAAGCATTATGGTATGGGCAGGTATAATGCACGGAGCTCGAACTCCTCTTGTTTTTATTGATGACACAATGACAGGTGCCTCATATCTTAGAGACATTTTAGGGCCTATTGTTGGTCTATTTCGAGGGGCAGTGGGGGGTGAATTTGTTTACAGGGACGATAGTGCTCCCCCCCATCGCACTTTGGCGGTTCGCGAATTTTGTGAGGAAGAGGGTATAAGAAAACTGGTGGCCACCGATGTCTCCAGATATGAATGTGATCGAGCATGCTTGGGACATGCTAAAACGCCATATTGCCAAAAGGAATGATCCCTCCCTTACCCCTTCATCCGTACCTTAAATGAATTGAAAATTGCTGCGCTTGAAACATGGGAAGCCATTCCTTAACATCTTCTGGACAACTTAATTGAGAGCATGCCACGTCGTCTCACAGCTTGCATTGAGGCTCGAAGAGGCAATACAGACTATATTTTGACACTAAAAATATTATAAGGTACACGAGTTATAATTGCCAAAGAGCTTTTATTTATTATTAAGAAACGTGGAAAATTGTTGGCAGACATTTTTCTCGTGGCTAAAATGCCGGCAGACAACGCGAAAGAGGCATGAAATTTTAACAAAAAAAAATAATCGCATACATGCATGCCGATTGGTGGAATGTCATATTTATTTACTTAAAAAGCCGTTGGCAAGAGGGCAGATGAAAAAAATCGTGGCTCAATCAGCTGTAGACAGTTATCAAAAGCTCGATATTACTCTACAGGGTGAGTCTTGGATAAGTGCAAATATGTTCATGGCTGATATCTCGACAAAAGAAATATAATTTCTCTTTACCGTTTTTCAAATGAGTCCAAAATAACCGTTCAAGTTTGAAAATTTAAAAAGGCATTTTTAGAAAGATTTATGAGTCACCTATTTTTTTCTGTATTTGCATCCATTTTGTAGTGTCGCAACAAGGTTGTAACCATAGATAAAAGACTTATACTATTAAATAGATAGGCAACTTATAATACATTTCAATTTTATTATACAAGGGCGCCTCTGGTAGACGGAGGAAGAAATACTAATGGAAGAGAGGGGTGTGGGGAAGGGGGGTTGTTTTAGTTAATTTAAAATATATTTAGACATACATGTAAGAACACTTTGTGTGCTTTTAATTAGGTCGAACATATTATAAACGATAAATCAACTGAATTAAAAGCATACAAAGTGTTCTTATATGTCGGATATTAATTAAAAAATATATTAAAAATACTAGAAATAGTATATATTAAGTTGTTACAGTTATAATTTAATCTTTGGCGGTTTTCAGCAAATAGCAGGCAGTTTTACATAATTTTCCTCCCTTTGAAGTGAATTGGAAACGGCTAGGTATATAATTTTGGTGTAGGCAAGATTCCCAGTTTGTTTCCGTTTGGGACCTGAAATAATAAAAACAAATTAAATCAGATGTAATCATCTGCTGATCATGCTAATATAAAACGCGCGTCCTTAATTCCTTACATGCACCGTAAAAAAATTTAAATAACTGCTCTGCAAGTAGCATTTATTAGCAGTACTAATTTAAAAAATCTATAACTGTAAGTAGATATGTTTAATTTACTTACCATTGTATCCTTCGGAAACCAGGAGTACAACAATTAAACTCCATGATAAAAAATAATTAAAAGTTATTACAAAACACAAATTGTCCCACCATTTTTAAAAAACATTGTCTAAAACAGAATACTGGCAAAAAATCTGAAGGAATTTAATTTTACAATAATTCGACAAATCAAAACGAAATCAACCGTAAAATCACAACAAAAGCGTCTCTGAGTGACAGTTAAAAATCAAATTTTATTATTGTCAGATATTGACATTTGCATTGTTAATATTGACAGTTTTAATATTTTGCGCCTCTGCATCTTGGAGGAAAAACTATTTTTAATGAACTGTCATTTCCATTTAAGTTTCCCAGCCATGGTTGTAACCATAGAGTAAAGCCGTAAGCATGGTAGATTAAAAAATTATACCGTGGGTAAATTTGCGGTGAACAGGCAGTTGTACAAAGTTTTCTAAAATATAAAGGAACATTTTTAAAAAATGCACGATTTTCAAGGCGGGTAGCGTTCTCTGAAAGCGCTAGACTAATATTGAGCTTTTGATAACTGTCTGTCGCTGATTTAGCCACGATCTTTTTGTCTGCTCTTCTGCATACGTCTTTTAAAATGAATAAATATGACATTCCACAAATTGGCATGCATGTGAGCCATATTTTTTTTCCAAAATTTCATGCCTGTGTCCTTTCGCGTTGTCTGCCGGCATTTTAGTGACAAGAAAAATGTCTGCCAAACAATTATTTTTTACGTTCCTTAATAATAAATAAAAGCTATTTTCGCAATTATAACTCGTGTACCTTATAATATTTTTAATGTCAAAATTTCACCCTTTCGATTGGTCGCCCCCGCTTTAAGCCCCGGGATCGCGCTGGCAGACATGACTATTTCGTGATGGCTACACATAAGGAGACTTCACAAGAAAAATTAGGCATGTAACGATGATCAGGTTTTTTTTATGTAGCCAGTACTTAGACTAACCCTTAATCGGTGCAGTATGCAATAAACGTCTCATTTAATGAGAAAGAACTAAACACATTCCATACCAATAAAATTACAAATATTCTACTGACTACAATAGCAATATTTAAATCTAATGTGAAATAAACAAGAGCTAAACAGGGCGGCCAAATAAACTACTATTTAATGAATCTACTTTTATTATAACAAATCTTCGTTTTTTTTCAGATATACAAAGCCAAAATGATTCAGGCACTGGACAATCGGTTCGTCAGCTATTCAAGCGAAGAAAAAAAAATAGGACTGACAAATTTCTTTATCCTATTGGTTGGAATTATACTCTCTGTCTGGTTCCTACAATTCCTGTGGAAAAGGAGGAAGCTCTATAAGGCAGCTAGCAAATTGCCTGGACCCTTCGCTCTGCCGATTATAGGGTCAAGTCATCTATTTCTTGGACAAACAGCTGGTATGTTTTAACTTATTTTATTATAATACCATATGATCGAAAAAAAAACGGCATCATAGACGGCTAGGAAACGATAATCAATGATAATTTGACGAGATATAGCCCTAGAGGTCATTTGCCCGTCGTGCTTTTTTTTTATTTTTTAACGGCACTTACTGCCAGTTATTTCTCTTAAGAAGACTGTAATTTATTTTTAAATTGAGTAAAAATGATTTTAAAATGGTGTATAGTAGTTTAAAATTCGATTTTTTCGTCCATCTAATAAAATTGTCATTTGAAAAAAAAAATTACAGGCAAGCTGATTTTTTCAGAGTTTGTCAGCGACTGTCTTCTGAATGTAAAATAAACAAAATCGGAAAATTTTCCCTTGCGGGTTTTGAGCAATAGGGGTGGTTTTTTTAAAACTATACTACAACAAAATAATTAGACGCAAATTGTACATAAGAACATTCTCTATAAGTTCGCCTAATGAATTTTTTATAAGTTTATTATTTCCGGACTTAGCGGCCGTTTTGTAAGCCCTTTGGGGTGGTTTTTAAAAAGTTTGTTTTACAGCAAATTGACCTGTATGAAAGTTGTTCATAAAAAATGGACAAGCAACTTTTCCTCATGGCTTTTTTTTGTAGCTTCATTATTTTTGGAGATAGCGTCCAGTTCATGAACAAATTGGGGTAGTTTCATAATTTTTGTTTAGTTCTACAAATTTACCAACTTAAAGGTGTTCATATTAAAATTACATGCAAACTTCCCTATGATATGTATTTATTTTCGCAAAACGAAACATGGAATTCATCAAGTGAATGGATATTATGATTTTTTTTTAAATTGTATCGTCTTCTTTTGTGTGATTGACCTGGCGTCGTTGCAGTTAGAAGAGTTGCCAGTCCTTTTCTCTGAACGTCCACAATTTCAGCAACATTCAATCATTTCTTGCAAATAAAACACGAATTCATTTTCCAATAGCGCTTGTGAATTTCCTGAGAAAAAAGACATTTAAAGCTACCACCACTTGTTCATGATCTGGGCGCTATCTCCAAAAATAGTCAAGTTACAAAAAAAGTTCATAAGGCAAAGGTATATGTACTCTTATTTTGAACTAGTTAGGGTGAATTTGCAGAAAAAAGAGTAACATTGAAAACTACCCTAATTTGTTCATGAACTGGACGCTATCTCCAAAAATAATCAAGCTTCAAAAAAAATTCATGAGGAAAAGTTGCTTGTCTATTTATTATTGTTACGTTTTTCGTCGGTTCCGTGTGGATAGAAAGTCACAATTTATTTAAACACTATTTATTTAACACTAATTAACAAAAACAATAACGATAAAAGACTTATAGAACTATTTACAAACGATTTATAACGTCGGCTTACTTGGGGACCATTCCTTGGTGACTAGGTAGAAAATGTGCCTTGCTTGACCATGTTCATTGTCGGTTAGCCTCAAGACGCTTCCAACCTGTGGATCCTGTCGGCGTAGTTCTCCGACACGCCCAAACTTCTCATTGAACGTCGCAGCGATTCCTCTGGACATCCGTAAATCTCGGGCCACACAATGAGCGAGCGAATAATCAGGAGGCACGGAAAAGAGGTCTCGTTGATCTTCTTTGGTTACACCATAGCGAGCCTTCTCACTGTTGTTGTATCGGGCCATGAAATCGTCAAAGGACATTTCCGAATCAGGGGAACAAAGCTGCAGGTTCTCACGGTCCCAGTACGATCTTCTATTTCGCCTTGGTAAGGGCTCAAACGATTGAAATGAACTATCCTCGGTTTTCCTTTTGGCAATTTTCTGATACGGTATACGACGTCATTAATTCTATCCATGACTTCGTATGGGCCTTCCCACGAGGATTGTAGCTTCGGAGATAATCCACGACGTCTCTGCGGGTTGTACAGCCACACCAAATTCCCTGGTTGGTACCCTCCATGTTCAGCTTGAAGTCGTAGTGCTCCTTCATTCGGTCACTAGCGCTTTGAATATTTAGGCGGACTCGCTGATGAATGTCGTCCATCCTTTGGCGTAGTCTATGGACATAATCTTCTCCGGCGACATCTTCTCCCGGTCGGCAACCAAACTTCAGATCACAAGGTAGGCGCACTTCCCGTCCCATAACGATGCTGGCTGGAGTTTGCCCTGTGGATTCTTGGACGGATGAACGATAGGCCAACAGGAACAGGTGAAGAAATTTGTCCCAGTCTCTTTGATGGGCAGAGACTACTTTGGCCAGATAATGGTTGATAGTTCTGTTCATGCGTTCAACCATCCCACGGATTGTGGATGCAGAGCAGTCGTCCTGGTCTTGCGGATGTTAAGGACCTCACAGACGCCTTGGAACAGATTGGACTCAAAGTTTCTTCCCTGATCTGAATGAAGCTCCATGGGAACACAAAACCTGCAGATCCATTCTTTAACAAGGGCATCAGCAATGGTGGACGCTTCTTGATTTGGCAGCGCGTAGGCCTCGACCCATTTGCTGAAGTAATCCATTACGACCACAATGTATTTGTTGCCATCGTTCGTTTCCGGGAAAGGACCAGCCACGTCGATCGCTATTCGTTCGAAGTGACTGCCAACATTGTACTGGCGCATAGGGGCTTTACCACGCTTTTGTGGTCCATTGATAGCAGCGCAAACGTCGCATTTCTTACACCAGGCCCTCACATCTTCTGTGCAGTTCACCCAATAGAACCGTTCACGCAGCTTGCCAAGGGTCTTGCTAACACCAAGATGTTCACCGCTAGTTCCATTGTGAACTTCCGCCAAGACTTCCGGGACCCTCTTCTTTGGAATGACGATCTGCCTTCTCTCTTCTTGTCCCTCCGGTCTCTCGATCACACGGCGAAGTAGTCCGTTATCTATTACCAAGGAATTCCACTGGGCCCAGTACGACTTTACGTTCGGCGAATATCTGCAAACTTCCTCCCACGTTGGTCTCTGGTCCGCGTTTTTCCAGTTAATCACCAAGCCCAACTCTGGATCGCTGATTTGGTCATTTGCAAGATCTTCGGTTTGCCAACTATCACCAACCACGGTCGTCCTTAAGACTTTCACTTCTTTCTCATCTTTGCAACGATTTCCCATCTGTCCGCAATTCCAACAGCGAATCGGTCCCCCCTTCTTGCTCATATACTGATCCAGTCTCTTCGGAGGCGTGGGTTCGGATCCCACCGCTGCCACCAAATTGTTACGTTTTTCGTCGGTTCCGTGTGGATAGAAAGTCACAATTTATTTAAACACTATTACGGTGTCTATTCTTTAATGCGATGTTAAGGTCATCTGAGGGCGGGACATATAGTTAGGTTAGGTCGAGTCCACACGGGTCCACAACATTATGAACAACTTTCATACGGGTCAGTTTGCTGTAAAACAAACTTTTTGAAAACCACCCCAAAGGGCTCATGAAACGGCCGCTAAGTCCGGAAATAATAAACTTACAAAAAAAAATCATTAGGCGAACTTATAGAGAATGTTCTTATGTACAATTTGTGTCTAATTATTTTGTTGTAGTACAGTTTTAAAAAAACCACCCGTATTGCTCAAAAACCGCAAGGGGAAAATTTCCGATTTTGTTAATTTTACACTCAGAAGACAGTCGCTGACAAATTCTGAAAAAATCAGCTTGCCCGTAATTTTTTTTCATTCTCTATACGGCGATACAATTTTACTGGATTATAATTAGTTGTCAATTTTTGAGAAGTTTTATGTCAATTTTTGGCTAAAATATTAAAAACGTCACAAATACATTTGTGACGTTTTATTTGTTAAAAAAAGCCGAAAGATTCAACTTGGCTACAACAAATAATATCTTAATTGCAGGATTTTAATCAATACAGTGTCCTCAATAAATAAATTATAATTTAAAAATTTGATGTCAATATCAAATGTTAAAAAACATGTTAAATTGGGAAATGATTCTTTTAAGTTATTTACGTTTATTTTGTCGAAATATTTTTAAAATAATATATTACTAACCTATGTAAATGATAAAAAAGATCAAAAATGAATATTAAATTTTATAGATCTTTAATAAAATTCGAATTGATTAAATACCTTAATGACAATTGCGAAACTTGCAAATGAACTTGAATATAATATTTAAATCTTGTATTTCTTTAGCATAGGGTATTTATATAGACTTAGTTTAATAATGCATACTTCTATACAAGGCGAGTATTAAATAATGTAGGTAGTATATTTCGAGTAGTATTATTCTCAATGAGTTTTTTTTACGAAAAAATTTTTTTGAAAATTTCACACCTCTACTTTTCAAGCAATAACATGCTTTAATGTTGACTAGTTACCATGGCAACTGAAAAAATTTCCGGAAATTTTTTCGAGGCGCCACGAAACTTTAGTGGAAATTTTTTGACAGTTGAAAAGCTAAACATAAGATCTACAATCATAATGTGAATGAACTACAATGTCTATATATTGAAATATTACCCATTTGAGTTTTAGCATTTGATGTAACTAAGGTTGGTAATATTTTTTATTTAAGGAAATATGTTAGATATACCTACATATGAATTTCTTCGAAATTGCCATGTTCTAAAAAATATAGTTCTGCCGCCTTTATTTAACTAAAGCTGGTATTTTTCTATTTAACGAAATATGATGGATATATCTATATGATTTTTTTAGAATTTATTTCATGTTGAATTATCTTCAATGCCAAATCTTTAATGATATCGACTAATATAGCAAAATAATAACGAAACACATTTAGTAATTATAGGTTTTATTAATATTAAAAACACAATTATTGTAAATGTTTGTAGGCTGGCTTGAATTGGTGGTTTGAATCTGGGTATTTTCTGTTTTATTTTGCATTGTGCTCTGATCATGATTGAACTGGCTAGTACTTGATGAAATGCTCCTCATGGATTCAATCATCTGTTGATGATGTTCAGCGTCCAACTGTAAGTAAGGTTTGATCGACTGACTATTACTATGTCCAGTAATTTTAATGAGCTGTTGTTCACCAACTCCTTTCTTGGCCAAATTCGAAACAGCTGTTGCTCTTGCAGAATGATTGGTTATTTTAACTTTTTTAGTGTCAATTCCTATATCTGAAGCTGCTGATTTAAACCATGAAGATACAATGTTCTTACCAACTGGGCTATTCTTGTACCATCCTTTCGAATTGGGTTGATTCCAGTATGGGTTTGGTGTTAAGAATAGTCTGTCGGTTTGAATAAGATTTCCCCTTTTTTCCATCAACTTTCTAAACAAGCGAACCGGACACATTTGTGGATTTTCGAAATTTCTAATCAACCATTTACTATCCGACAGTTTTTTAGAACCACCTTGTGTGGTTTTAGAGAAAATTGGATTATATTCTATCCGACCTTTTGGGTTTCCGAAATTATCAGTTTCTTCTTTGAAGTATTGGATACAAGCAGAATGTCCTTCCCCTCCTCTCCATGCCAGCTCATGTGAAACTATGTGAAAAAATTTACGCTGCAACCCATCTGGAGTATTTTCATCCCACATTTCAATAATTTTTTTGTATTCGTCACTGGTTAAGGCTGAAGCACTCACTTTTCTTTTTGCTGAATCTCTCTGTAGTATTTTGCGCTTAGCATCGCGTGCAGCTCTGGCGGTCACAAATTCCACATCAGAAAACGGATTAAATTTTATTTTATATTTTTCGTAATAAATTTCTTGCAACTGCTTAGCAGTAGAGTTCCACATCACTTTGACCACACTTTCCTTATAATCTTCAAAATTTTTCTTTTTCATATTAAATGCGTAGTCCTCCAGTATAGTAGCCAGCTGTACTACACTCATACACTCATGAATATTATACGACTTTTCATCACAAAATTCAACAAACTGTTTCCATACACTTGATTTTGATTTTCGGGTGTTATCTGGTTTTATATTTTCAATTTCTTCTTTAATGACTTGTTGGTTTACTTTTTCAAATCGCGACATTTCGCTATACACTTCTTACTCTACGTACAGACGTTTTGAAACTAGTGACAGAGCTAGTGATAGCTTAATGACAGAATCGCAAACAAAAATGACAAAACACATAATATGTCAAAAACATCAATACCTTGGCCAACTTAACAAATTGAAATTATTTTAAAATGTCATGTTGGATTAATTTTTTTTTTCAAATTTAGGTGTGAAATTTTCTTACCGAATACCAAAAAAATTTTTTTGGAATTTTTTTTAGATTTTTTTAAATTTTTAGTTAAACAAACTTAATGGTGCGTTTAGACTTGAGCACGCACGAGCTGAGCGTGCGCGCACGGCATTCGTTCGCGCTCTCGGCTCCGTTCAAATTAAAAACTTATTTTTCGATGAATGAAGTTGTGTTGGCGAAAATAATGGACGACCAAGAAATAATCGAGGCTGCAGTCATTGTTATGACAAAACAAATTGCCGGTGCAAACTGAGCGTTCGCGCACACATAAAATCCCTTTGAGCACGGACCAAAAACCGACACCAGACGGCTCACGTTCGCGACTGCTCGAGCACAGACAGATTCAGAGTGAGCGTGCGCGCACAGCCGTTTACACTTGAGCATTCGCGGAGGATCAGTGCGTGCGTGCTCAAGTCTAAACGCACCATAATATAATGCATAGACGGTTTTTACAACTTAACGCCTCATTTATTGATATTCTCCTTTATCAATAGTTTCGTCCAAATCATAATAATGTAGAATTGTAGAATATTATTATAGAATAAGTGTATCTTTTTCTGTCTACAGATATCTTTGGAGCCATTTCCAAGCTGTTCGAAACATATCCAAGCTTGTTCAAAGTATGGTTCGGTCCTCGATTGTTCTATGCAACCTGTGATCCAAAAATCAACGAAATTCTTCTGAGCAACACAAATGTCTTGCGGAAAGAGTATCTCTATAGGATGATAGAACCAGTATCTGGAGGAGGACTCATCAATCAACTTAGAGGTAGCTCTATTTGTTTTGTTGCAGTAAATAATTTGTATTTTTTTCTTTGTGAAACATCGTTGAAATATCAGTATTTTAATTTAATAAAACACGCTTTTAGATGTGTCAAAATTTAATGAGAGTACCTTTATCTCTACATATGTGTGTTTCGGCTTGCTAGGCCTTTTTCAAGGGTTTTTTAAAACTAACCGTCTGACTACATTGTAAGAAATGTCTATACATATGTGGCGGATTCATCTTTCCAAAAATCCTATATGGGTATTTCGCCACTGCAAGAAAATCTACAAAATAATAGTTATACATATATATGTATATATATATATATATATATATATATATATATATATATATATATATATATATATATATATATATATATATATATATATATATATATATATATATATATATATATATATATATATATAATAAATAATATTTTCTTGCCTTTAGCTGTGTATTTTTTCTAATTTCGAAAAATCGAAAGTAGAGAAAAAATTAAAAAAAAAATAAAAAGTAAAAAGAAAATTGTTTTGCTTGTCGTAAAGGGGGGAACCAAGATCCACTCCCACAACCGGTTTCTGGGCCTACCCTTTATCAGGTGGGCTGTCCAGGGGCTGGTTCTCACCGATACGGCAAGCAAAACTTCTTCTATATCTACAGACGATGTCGTAAAGTGTCGGTGAGATATTAGTGCATCTCCCGTCAAAAGATGGTAAAGAGCGTTTTTCGGCCCGCTCAAATATATAAAATGAACAAAATTCTTACAGCTTTAGTGTATATTAATAAATAATATTTTCTTGCCTTTAGCTGTGTATTTTTTCTAATTTCGAAAAATCGAAAGTAGAGAAAAAATTAAAAAAAATAAAAAGTAAAAAGAAAATTGTTTTGCTTGTCGTAAAGGGGAGAACCAAGCTCCACTCCCACAACCGGTTTCTGGGCCTACCCTTCATCAGGTGGGCTGTCCAGGGGCTGGTTCTCACCGATACGGCAAGCAAAACTTCTTCTATATCTACAGACGATGTCGTAAAGTGTCGGTGAGATATTAGTGCATCTCCCGTCAAAAGATGGTAAAGAGCGTTTTTCGGCCCGCTCAAATATATGAAATGAACAAAATTTCTTACACCTTTAGTGTATATTAATAAATAATATTTTTCTTGCCTTAGCTGTGTATTTTTTCTAATTTCGAAAAATCGAAAGTAGAGAAAAATTTAAAAAATAAAAATAAAAGTAAAAAAAGTAAAATTGTTTGCTTGTCGTAAAGGGGAACCAAGCTCCACTCCCCACAACCGGTTTCTGGGCCTACCCTTCATCAGGTGGGCTGTCCAGGGCTGGTTCTCACCCTTTACGACAAGCAAAACAATTTTCTTTTACTTTTTATTTTTTTTTTTAATTTTTCTCTACTTTCGATTTTTTCGAAATTAGAAAAAAATACACAGCTAAAGGCAAGAAAATATTATTTATTAATATACACTAAAGCTGTAAGAATTTTGTTCATTTCATATATATATATATATATATATATATATATATATATATATATATATATATATATATATATATATATATATATATATATATATATATATATATATATATATATATATATATTTAATATAATGGAAAATTTACGACAAGTCGTGTTTATATACTCTCTATACTCCCTTATTATTATTATTATTATTATTATTATTATATACTCTGCGCTGTACTCGACATATTGTGGAAACGACCCAAGCTCACCTGATGATGGGGTAGGGCCCCGAAACCGGTAGTGAGAGCAGGTTGATCCACATTATGTTGAACACAGCGTGGAATTAATTTCTATATTAGCAGTTCAAGGCAAGAAACTCTTATATAATTTTATTATATACCTAAAAACTGCAAGAAATTTATTTTCCATTATATAATTTGGGCTAGCCGCAAAAAGCCTCTATATACTATCGATAGTTGTGCCTCGGTGGTACGAAAGTACTACCATTGCACATAGGCCGCTATCTCGCGATGCGGGACTTAATATCTTACCGCTACTTTACGACAAGTCGTGTTTATATACTCTGCGCTGTGCTCGACATATTGTGGAAACGACCCAAGCTCACCTGATGATGGGGTGGGGCCCCGAAACCGGTAGTGAGAGCAGGTTGATCCACATTATGTTGAACACAGCGTGGAATTAATTTCTATATTAGCAGTTCAAGGCAAGAAACTCTTATATAATTTTAGTATATATATTTATATATTGCGGATTTTTACGACATTCGTCGTCTCCCGCTTCTCAACTTCCACAGATTTCTGTCTGTCTAGTCTTCTTCCTGAAGGCCCCTAGAATTCATTAGCGTCAACTAAGCCCTGCTTCCATCTTCGAGGTGGTTTTCCACGTTTCCGCCTTTCGATTGGTGTCCATGAATGAATTCTTTTAGGCCATCGGTTATCATCCATTCGTTGGAGGTTTGGTTTGGTTTGGCCGTCAATGGCGTCGAGAATAGTTTCTTTTTCTCCTATAATTTCTCGTATTCTTTGATTTGAGATGTGTTCCAGTCTTTAAATGCGACAACTTCTTCGCTAAAATTCCATTTCAAGAGACAGCAAACCTATCTTTCTCTACTTTGTTTAGCTCCCACGTTTCAGCCCCATAAGTGGTAATGCTCTCTACAATGGCTTTATAAAGTAGAATTTTTGTTTTTTGGATAATTTTGTCACTCCACAACAACGAGTTAAGTTGACCGATAACTCTGTTTCCTTGACCAACTTTATTTGCAATATCTTGAGTGCTTTTTCCATTTGTTGTAAAAGTGACGCCCAAGTATTTAAATGTACAGACATTTTTAATTGTGCCGATTCCACCCACTACCATGAACTCCGTCTTCTTTGTGTTGATTGTTACGCCCCATTTCGAATATTCCTCATGCAGTTTTCTAAACATATAACGACCTGGTCGTCGGCAAAGAGCAAGGAATATAAAGTGTCTTTTCCTACTGGGATTCCCATTCCACGGCATTTCATCTTCCAACACTTTAGTACTTCCTATTAGTGCTTTTATTAATAAATAAAAGCTATTAAGATTAAGCTATATAATTAAGAAACGTGGAAAATTGTTGGCAGACATTTTTCTGGTCGCTAAAATGCCGACAGACAAAGCGAAAGAGGCATGAAATTTTAAAAATTATCTCGAAAATTATTAAAAAATGAAATTTGAACAATGAAAAAAAATATACTTGCATACATGCATGACGATTGGTGGAATGTCATATTTATATATTTTAAAAGCCGTATGCAACAGGGCAGACAAAAATATCGTGGCTAAATCAACTGCAGACAGTTATCAAAAGCGCGATATTACTCTAGCGCTTTCAGGGAACGCTCGCGCTCGCCGCCTCATCCATTTAAGTATAGATAAATCATGTATACGATTATATATAAATATATTTTTTTATTATTAAATTACTAAAACAGATATCATACATTTACTATTCTGTCTCACTATTTGTATCTGACTCATCGTACTGCAGATCCCCGCTCTCGCAAACGAGTCTTATTCTTCTGAGTCGATCTCTGCACCGTAAAATTTTTGTAGACCAGATATTATGTTTCAATTGATAACGTGGCCAGCGTTTCCTGAATACTTTTATACAGGGTGAAATATTAGGTTAAATAAGTGAAAATACTTTTAGGGATGATATATTTCGACTCCAGGAACACGTCTATGAGTTTTTTACAAAAAAAGACGTAGAAAATCGTGCATTATTTTTAAATTTTCCTGTATATTTTAGAAAACTTTTTAAAACTGCCTGTTCACCGCAAATTTACAAACGGTATAATTATTTCTTAACCTATCATGCTTACGGCTTTACTCTATGGCTACGACACTAAAATAATGGATGCAAGTACAGAAAAAAAACAGGTGTCTCACAAAATTATTTAAAAATAAATCAATTTCTTTTTAAATTTTCAAACTTGAATAACTCGATTATTTTGGACTTATTTGGAAAACGGTAAAAAGAAAATATTGTAGCGTTTTTTAAACAACCACCACTGCGAACGGCAGCTTTTCATCGGAGAGCAGTCGTGGATAAGGTATTTCACTGGAAAGAAAACTAATTAATAACAATAAACAAAAAAATAGATATTGGGCGCCAGGCATGTACAGAGAAAGAAAACACAGTTGTATATTACTTAAAACTAATGACTATATTCATTCATGATGTTCGTTGCTGATACATGACATGTAGAGTTCTAGTGAATATGTAGTGGTTATATGTCAAAGAAAGTGGTGGTAAGAGTCGTACTAAATATCAATGAAAACAACTACGATAAAATACAGGACATGTAAAGTTTAAGAGAAAATATGAAATGTAGCATTACTTTAATTAATTTGATATATTCCATATGATGCTAAATCGAAGATGTTACACCTGTAGATTCTAGAATCTATGTTTGATTATCCATCTATTAAAATAGTGCAATAATATCTATAAAAAGTAATAGTATTACAAGGCGTAATATAATGAAACCTAAAATCTAAATCACATTGTAACTACTGAATCGACATAAATGTTCTTAATAATCTAACCACTAAATATAGTCTGTACGATATTATTTAAAATATACGTTACTGTTTAAGACTGAAAATATTTTAGATGTTAAATGTAAAACTAGAACTTAAATATACACTTAGCTGTTCTTTTATGTAAACTTGCTTCAAACAGTAGCAGCGTGAGGTGGTCTAGCATCTCTGTACTGTCTGTCGGCCATCCTGTTGGCCAAAACAACAAAAGGGGCCAGATTGAGAACACCGTGAATCACTTCAGCCGTAGCTACTGACTAGGCTTAGAAATGGGAGTGAAGCAGCATGGGACTCAAGCTACATCCACGCTGTGGCACTTAGATGTAAGAAAAAATCGTTCTTACTGGGGACACTCGTCCACAGGACATCTGTACATAAGAGAATGTCTGTACATAAGGCACTACCCGTACCTTGGACACAGTCCGTACTTTGGACACAGTCCGTACCTTGGACCCAGTCCGTATCTTGGACACAGTCCGTACCTTGGACCCTAAAAATATGAAACTCTTGTTTAAAACCAAACAAGGTCTAATAAACAAAATAAACCTACCTCGAAATACTTCCGAGGGCTCAATAAATAATAAACAACATGTCCTTTCTTCCATGTGACATTCTGGAGGACAAAAGAAAAGGGACGCCAACAAAACACAAATACAAGTTGGGACATCCGTAATCTACCCTAAAAATATTCAATAATAATATCGAATCTAAAAGGATAATATTTCATCTTTACCTGTTGCTTCGAAATAGCAGCTGATTCAAATTATACAGCAAGATTTAAATAATCACCATTTCTAAAAGCTGGGATACAACAGAGCGTCAAAACGAAGTGAGGTTAAGCACGGAGAGTTGACAGAAGCGATGTTGACAGCGCGCGCCTCCACAGAATAGTAACAGGGTTGTGTCGAACGATAACAGGGTTGGCGACCAGGGAACGTAAAAATTACGCGTCAAATAAACTATCCGACCTGAACGAGAGGGAATCCGGTGATGATCATATATTATATATAAAAAAGACATGTAACGAACTAAAAACGTTACAATATGTTTCTTTTATCGAGATCTACCAGCTCTGAAAATATTTGCACTTATTCAAGATTCACCCTGTAGAGTAATATCGCGTTTTTATAACTGTCTACCGCTGAATGAGGCACGTTTTTTTTTGTCTGTCCGTTTGCATACGGCTTTTTAAATAAATAAACATACCATTCCAGAAACATCAAATCCCATGCCTCTTTCGGGTTGTCTGCCGGCATTTTAGTCACGAGAAAAATGTCTGTCAACAGTTTTACACGTTTCTTAATAATAAATAAAAGCTATTTTCGCAATTATAACACGTGTACCTTATAATATTTTTACTGTCAAAATTTCACCCTTTCGATTAGCCGCCCCAAAAAAAAACAAAAGGATACTTCACACACAAAATTGGCCATGTAACGAAGATAAGGTTTTTTATGTAGCCAGCTCTCAGTCTATAAATAGTGTCACTAACTCTGCATTGTTTTATTTATTTGTCTGTCAAATTTATGTGTCTACTAGGTATTAAGAAATTTTCCTGCAATTTACCTTTAAAGAAATAAGAAGTAAACATCAATATTTTCTTCTCTTCACATTAGATGCCAACGACATTTCAATGGAAACGTTTAATCTATGAGAACAATAAATTATTCGCATTGCATAATATACCTAGCTTTTTCTATTCGGTCAACTTGAGTACAAGTGCAATAATTAGGTCGATCTTTTGCGAAACATGTTTTAACATTTACTCCGCTGCTTTTTTTAGCATAAAGAAGTGTTTTTTTCAGCTTGTCATCCTTAAAAAATCACCAAACGAGTTTTTTAACATCGCCTAATAATACTAATTAACTTAGTAAAACAGATGGTTTGATTTAATGAACTTGATCTCCTAAAAATGCCAAGAAACAATCACTTATTGGAGCTTTTTATTGCAACATTTTTGCCAAGTTATTAACGAGTTTTGTAAATGTTATTGTCTTATTAAGAGCGTTCGGTTTACCTTTTTTTTTAATAGTTTTATCTCAGTACTGTCAGTTACAATGAGAACCACTTACGAATATTTAATTGACTTCAAAAATGTATTTACTTGCATTACTATAAACAAATTCCATTAAATTTTGAAAGTATTTAAATGTTGGTACTTGATTTGAGAAGGTCAAGAATATTCTCCTGTAAATATGTAAACGTTTGTAAACAAAATGCATAACTGTTACAATTATTGTACAGGGTGAGTCAACGATAAAGTCCATTACCTCATTTGTTTCGAGGTTTACAAAGAAAAGTTGGTTATAAAGGTTACAGGGAAGGTTAAGATACAAATTTTAAAATTATTACAGAGTGTACAGCGTGCTTCAAAACTGTGTGGCGGATATAAAATATATTTTTTTAAATGAAACGCTTTATTTTTTATTTTAATTTTAGATTCTGCTTAAAATTCTATAACTTTTTATACAGGGTTGTTCACCACATATCACACGGAGTATTGTAGCTAAACGATTAGATTTTTGACAAATTGCAAGTTTTGTGTTTGTGTTTTTTGATACAGAGTGTCCCAAATAAATAAAAAAATATCAAAGTTGTATTTTTTTAAACGGACCACCCTGTATATTGTTACATTTTGAGTTCCTACGATTAAAATAAAGGTAAATTTGATTTAGGTTTATCACACTTAAACCGTTTTTGAAATATTTTCAATTTTGTGAAATCGCAGTAAAAAATTTAAGGCTTTATTTCTCTAAGGGTATCGAAGTTTTTAATACCAAATATTTACAGAAGTTTATTTATTGATCAGTTATTGTGTTGCAATAATAAAAAGAATACTAACCTCATAGAGAGTGTATAAAAATTTATTTTAAATAATTTCTAGCTTTAAACGGCAATAACTTGTTTAATTTAAATGGAACACCCTGTATATTTTAGAAGAATTAGATGCACAATTTAATTTTCTATCAAATTGTATTATATCATTTTTTGTCTATCCCTTCAAGTTTTCGTAGAAAATGCATGTTCTTATAATTGAGGCCTCATTTATCCATATATACCCATGGAATATTGACATTTTAGCTTGATTTTAAAGCAACAAATGTAAAAAATGTACAGGTGCTAAAGACGATAATATTACTAGCGCATTTGTATACAAAAAGAACACTTTTTAAATTTTCATGACATATTTATAAGAGTATACTTTTAATTAAATATACCACCATTATTTCCGCCCAAATATTAATTAATTACATACTTAATTGTGTTAGTTAATAAATTATTCCAAATAAATGTGGATTTGAATCAGAAATCAATATAATAATAAGTTATGAAAATGAACGTCTCTGTTATAAATAAGCATTCGTCAAAACACAAAATAAAATGTTTAAGGGATTACTTTTTACCACACTGTCTAATACACATACAAAATTTAGTTTTTTCAGTATTAGGAGCAAGTATTACTAATCAACGCAAACAGTCAATTAATGTAGTTTGAATACTGGAATCATCTTAATTGGTCCTCTTTAACAAATATTTAGACAGTTTTTTTTATTTTTAATGAAATAAACGAACTATTATCGACAATATTAGTATCTGTCCTCTTCAAAAGTTTGTTACATCTTTAAAAATAATCTAAAATGTCAATATTACATAGGTATATTGATAAATGAGGTCTAAATTATAAAGGAAATGCATTTCCTACGAAAACTTGAAGAGATAGGTAAAAAATGGTATAATACAATTTGATAGACAATTAAATTGTGCATCTGATTCTCATGAAATATACAGGGGATTCTATTTAAATTAAACAAGTTATTGCCGTTTAAAGCTAATAATTATTTCAAATAAATTTTTAGACACTCTGTATAAGATAGTATATTTTTTATTATTGCAACACAAAATTTGGTAAATAGAAATACTTCAGGACAATATTTGGTTTCAAAAACTTAAATTCGCCTAGAGAAATGAAGCATTAAATTTATTACCGTATTTAATCTTAGAAACTAAAAATGTAATAATATACAGGGTGTTCCATTTAAAAAATATAACTCTGATATTTTTTATTTTATTTTGGGACACATTGTATTTTATTGTGTTGCATTAAAAAAAACAAATGTAATACTCGCCACACTTTTGAAACGCTCTGTATTAGTCCATATTTAATATTGTTGTTGTAAAATTATGTTATGTTTTATATAAATAATTATTTTAATGTATCATTATGTTTATTTCTCTATTAAAGATTATTAATTACAATTTATTGTTACAGTTCCAACATGGAAGAGACACCGAAAAATCATAATGCCAACGTTTAACCAGAAAATTTTGGATGGCTTTGTTGACATTTTCGTGGACAGATCAGAAGTCTTGGTGTCGGTGATGAAAAAATTAGTTGGAGTAAAAAACGTCAATATATACGATTTGTTCTCTAGGTGTACTTTGGATATAGTTTGCAGTAAGCTGGTGTTAATTTTTTAGTTATGATATTATTATGTCTAATTATTTTCTGTTTATTTTCCTTGTAGAAACAGCCATGGGAGTTCAAATTGATGCCCAGATCAAAGATACAGATTTCCACAGATGGGCTGACGAGTAAGTAATTGTTTTTTTTTAAGTCTAATTTAAGTATACAGGGTGTGTTAACCTACAGTATTTAAAATAGGCTCCATGTTAAGTTTCCTATTTGAGATTTTTTCACTTCAAGCGTTGTTTTATAGATAAGTACTATACGATCGAAAAAAAACGGCGCAAAGTTGGCTTGGAAATGACGATCGATGACATACTGATTTTTTAACAAAGTGTCGCAATATGACATGGCCGGACAGATTTTTTTACGTCGCTTGACGTTTAAAGTCATAGGCTACTAGTTAAAAACCAAAAAAAATATACACTTAAAAACTAAATCTTAAATAACTTAAAAACGATTTATTTTAGGTATAGGAACATGTATAATCAAAAAGTAACGAATTGAAAAACCCTTTCATTAGTGAAATTTTATTTATGATAGTTTTTTAATTTCTCAATTCCATGAGAGCTACGGCCGATATTATACATATAACATTCAAACAATTTAGGGTGTATTCCGTTGCTTACCTTGGTTATGGTTTTATGTTCTGTTTCTATCGGTTTCCTGAAAGTTTTCTTATTACGGAACAAGGTTCTTGAAAAATTCAGTTATAACTATCACCAAACTAACCAACACGAGAAGGCTGGTTTTTCTGGTTTTATCAGTGTCATTTATGTGACAGAAATGAAGCAAATATTGGAAGTTCGAGTGAAATTCTCGTTTAATTTCTAAAATTTGTTATAATATTTTTTATTTACATCTAAAAGCAATGTAGGTAGGCAGTAAAGGTAAATAAATTTCATTAACTAAATAAAATGACTTTTTAAGACCATTTAAACTTATCCAGGAACATTTAAAGAAAACATCAAAAACAAGACAAGTAATCGTGAATGTTTTGTAAGCTATAAAAATATAAATAATATTGATTAGATTTGTTTATTTTTTATTGATCTGTTTTAATATTGGACCTGCAAATATCCACTTGAGCTGTCTAACGAGTTTAACAGTTTATTAATAAAGTACTTTTCAATATTAAACTCCATTGAAAAGAAGAAGCAAACGTAAAAGCAGAGAATAGGTACATTAAAAATGCATAAAAGATAACAGTGATAACAGTGGAAATATTGCTTCTTTTCCCGCTCTACTCTTTATCATATGCCCAGCTCTAAAATAAGTATGTTGGGTGTAGACATTTTGAATTTACCATCGTTAAAAGCAGAAACCGAAAGAATACCGGTAATTTTACATCACTAGGTATAATATTTTTAATGACAAACGTCTACTAAGAAAAAATACTTCTATTATAGATCTATTTTATTCATTAAAATATCTGTTATTATTTGGATAGTATTAGTTTCATTCTTTTCTTTTTTTGATCTTTGCGTATTTTTGACTAGTTTGAGAAGAGTCTCACCCAACCCAGTGTGTTTTCATAATAGATATTTTTCAAATAAAAATTAATTATTTTTACAGAATTATGGATTTGATTATGAAACGAATATTCAACGTATATTACCACTTGGACTGGATTTATTTTTTGACGTCGGAAGGCAAGACTGCCTCCATTAACGCCAGCAATTTGAGGAACTATACCCGTAATGTAAATATCATTTTTATTTCTGTATTTCCTATGATTTTATAATAATATAATGAATTACTGTTTTATTTTATTTTAGGTGGTCATCACAAAAAGAAACGAATATGAAAGCAAGTTTAATAACGGCGAATTAGTTTTTGAAGATGGTAAGATAAACTCCATTAATAAAGAAAGCATCATCATCCTCAGCTTATTCAACCATTTCCAGTTATGGTGTAGCCTCTCTCACAAATTTAGATACTCTTTTTGTAGTTAGGCCCATTGTTGTCTATTATTGGTTATGCGGGTGCAAGTTATTCCCGCTAATTTCCTAATATCATTGTCCCAACTCAGGTTCGGTCTTCTTCTAGGTCTCTTAATTCCTCTTGTGTATCTTGGTATGTGAGGAAAGGTGACCCAGTCCAGGAAAGTTTTCTCGTTATAATTCGGTTTTCATATATTCTTTTGATGATAAAAATGTTATTTTATAACGAATTTATACCTCCCAATCCAAGAATCATACTTCTTCGGCTAATGGCAAGCTGCTGATGGGCACATGCCATCCAGTTCAAAAGGACCCAGTCCAGGAAAGTTTTCTCGTTATAATTCGGTTTTAAAATACTCTTTTGATGATAAAAATGTTATTTTATAACAAATCTATACCCCCCAATTCAAGAATTTTACTTCTTCAGCTAATGGTAAACTGCTGATGGACACATGCCATCCAGTTCAAAAGGACCTGGTCCAGGAAAGTTTTCTCGTTATAATTCGGTTTTAATATATTCTTTTGATGATAAAAATGTTATTTTATAACGAATTTAGACCTCCCAATCCAAGAATCATACTTCTTCGGCTAATGGTAAACTGCCGATGGACACATGCCATCCAGTTCAAATGGACCCAGTCCACGAAAGTTTCCTCGTTATAATTCGGTTTTAATATACTCTTTTGAGGATAAAAATGTTATTTTATAACAAATCTATACCCCCCAATTCAAGAATTTTACTTCTTCAGCTAATGGTAAACTGCTGATGGACACATACCATCCAGTTCAAAAGGACCTAGTCCAGGAAAGTTTTCTCGTTATAATTCGGTTTTAATATATTCCTTTGATAATAAAAATGTTATTTTATAACGAATTTATACCCCCCAATTCAAGAATCTTACTTCTTCGGCTAATGGTAAACTGCTGATGGACACATGCCATCCAGTTCAAAAGGACCCAGTCCAGGAAAGTTTTCTCGTTATAATTCGGTTTTAATATACTCTTTTGATGATAAAAATGTTATTTTATAACGAGTCTATACCCCCCAATTCAAGAATCATACTTCTTCAGCTAATGGTAAACTGCTGATGGACACATACCATCCAGTTCAAGAGAACCCTGTCCAGGAAAGTTTTCTCGTTATAATTCGGTTTTAATATATTCTTTTGATGATAAAAATGTTATTTTATAACGAATCTATACCCCCCAATTCAAGAATCATACTTCTTCAGCTAATGGTAAACTGCTGATGGACACATACCATCCAGTTCAAGAGAACCCTGTCCAGGAAAGTTTTTTCGTTATAATTCGGTTTTAATATATTCTTTTGATGATAAAAATGTTATTTTATAACGAATCTATACCCCCCAATTTAAGAATCATACTTCTTCAGCTAATGGTAAACTGCTGATGGACACATGTCATCCAGTTCAAAAGGACCCAGTCCAGGAAAGTTTTCTCGTTATAATTCGATTTTAGTATATACTTTTGATGATAAAAATGTTATTTTATAACGAGTCTATACCCCCCAATTCAAGAATCATACTTCTTCAGCTAATGGTAAACTGCTGATGGACACATGTCATCCAGTTCAAAAGTACCCAGTCCAGGAAAGTTTTCTCGTTATAATTCGGTTTTAATATACTCTTTTGATGATAAAAATGTTATTTTATAACGAGTCTATACCCCCCAATTCAAGAATCATACTTCTTCAGCTAATGGTAAACTGCTGATGGACACATGTCATCCAGTTCAAAAGGACTCAGTCCAGGAAAGTTTTCTCGTTATAATTCGATTTTAGTATATTCTTTTGATGATAAAAATGTTATTTTATAACGAATCTATACCCCCCAATTCAAGAATCATACTTCTTCAGCTAATGGTAAACTGCTGATGGACACATGCCATCCAATTCAAAAGGACCTAGTCCAGGAAAGTTTTCTCGTTATAATTCGAATTTAGTATATTCTTTTGATGATAAAAATGTTATTTTATAACGAGTCTATACCCCCCAATTCAAGAATCATACTTCTTCAGCTAATGGTAAACTGCTGATGGACACATACCATCCAGTTCAAGAGAACCCTGTCCAGGAAAGTTTTCTCGTTATAATTCGATTTTAGTATATTCTTTTGATGATAAAAATGTTATTTTATAACGAATCTATACCCCCCAATTCAAGAATCATACTTCTTCAGCTAATGGTAAACTGCTGATGGACACATGCCATCCAATTCAAAAGGACCTAGTCCAGGAAAGTTTTCTCGTTATAATTCAGTTTTAATATATTCTTTTGATGATAAAAATGTTATTTTATAACGAATTTATACCTCCCAATTCAAGAATCAAACTTCTTCGGCTAATGGTAAATTGCTGATGGACACATGTCATCCAGTTCAAAAGGACCCAGTCCAGGAAAGTTTTCTCGTTATAATTCGGTTTTAATATACTCTTTTGATGATAAAAATGTTATTTTATAACGAGTCTATACCCCCCAATTCAAGAATCATACTTCTTCAGCTAATGGTAAACTGCTGATGGACACATGTCATCCAGTTCAAAAGTACCCAGTCCAGGAAAGTTTTCTCGTTATAATTCGGTTTTCATATACTCTTTTGATGATAAAAATGTTATTTTATAACGAGTCTATACCCCCCAATTCAAGAATCATACTTCTTCAGCTAATGGTAAACTGCTGATGGACACATGTCATCCAGTTCAAAAGGACTCAGTCCAGGAAAGTTTTCTCGTTATAATTCGATTTTAGTATATTCTTTTTGATGATAAAAAATGTTATTTTATAACGAATCTATACCCCCCAATTCAAGAATCATACTTCTTCAGCTAATGGTAAACTGCTGATGGACACATGCCATCCAATTCAAAAGGACCTAGTCCAGGAAAGTTTTCTCGTTATAATTCGATTTTAGTATATACTTTTGATGATAAAAATGTTATTTTATAACGAGTCTATACCCCCCAATTCAAGAATCATACTTCTTCAGCTAATGGTAAACTGCTGATGGACACATACCATCCAGTTCAAGAGAACCCTGTCCAGGAAAGTTTTCTCGTTATAATTCGGTTTTAATATATTCTTTTGATGATAAAAATGTTATTTTATAACGAATCTATACCCCCCAATTCAAGAATCATACTTCTTCAGCTAATGGTAAACTGCTGATGGACACATGCCATCCAGTTCAAAAGGACCTAGTCCAGGAAAGTTTTCTCGTTATAATTCGGTTTTAATATATTCTTTTGATGATAAAAATGTTATTTTATAACGAATTTATACCTCCCAATCCAAGAATCAAACTTCTTCGGCTAATGGTAAATTGCCGATGGACACATGTCATCCAGTTCAAAAGTACCCAGTCCAGGAAAGTTTTCTCGTTATAATTCGGTTTTAATATACTCTTTTGATGATAAAAATGTTATTTTATAACGAGTCTATACCCCCCAATTCAAGAATCATACTTCTTCAGCTAATGGTAAACTGTTGATGGACACATGTCATCCAATTCAAAAGGACCCAGTCCAGGAAAGTTTTCTCGTTATAATTCGATTTTAGTATATTCTTTTGATGATAAAAATGTTATTTTATAACGAATCTATACCCCCCAATTCAAGAATCATACTTCTTCAGCTAATGGTAAACTGCTGATGGACACATGCCATCCAATTCAAAAGGACCTAGTCCAGGAAAGTTTTCTCGTTATAATTCAGTTTTAATATATTCTTTTGATGATAAAAATGTTATTTTATAACGAATTTATACCTCCCAATCCAAGAATCAAACTTCTTCGGCTAATGGTAAATTGCTGATGGACACATGTCATCCAGTTCAAAAGGACCCAGTCCAGGAAAGTTTTCTCGTTATAATTCGGTTTTAATATACTCTTTTGATGATAAAAATGTTATTTTATAACGAGTCTATACCCCCCAATTCCAGAATCATACTTCTTCAGCTAATGGTAAAAGAAACATATTTTCTCTTTATCGTTTTTCAAATAAGTCCAAAATAACGGAGTTATTTTACTTTGAAAATTTCCAAAAAAAAAATATTTTTTGCTAAAATTTTGAGAACCATGGATCTTTTGGATTAGAACAATGGATCTTTTCTGGATTTTCTTTAATGCAAATTTAATCTAATACCTATGTTGCCATATTATCAAGAAATTATGTTTTTTAACTAAAAACCAAAAAATTTCCAAAATTTTTTTAAAAAATTTCGGATTTTCAAATTTTTTTTTTCGCAAAAAAAACCTCATAGGCGTGTTTCTGGGGTTGAACCAGTTAAAATACTTGCACTTATTTCTGGGACACCCTGTATAAATTTATTTGTTGGCATTTTAGATGGAATAAAAAGAAAAGCTTTTCTGGACTACCTCATCGAAATGTGTTACCAAGATGGGAAAAACAGTTTTACCGATGAGGAATTGATCGACGAGACGGTAACATTCATGATAGCTGTAAGTTATGATTAAACATTTTTATGTATGATTAATGTCTATTATTTTAGGGTACCGACACCACAGCAACCACCAATTGTTTCCTTTTCATAATATTTGGTCTTTATCCAGATGTACAGGTAATATCATCGTGTTAAGATTGTAGACTTGTTTTGGAAACTTTAAAAATTTACTATCTTATTCAAAACCAAATGTCTCCAATAAAAATAAAGTTATTGGGATGAATAAAAAAAGAAACTATCGAGAAAAGACGTACCTGGATGATAAAATAATTTTTAAATTCCTTGCTTTATTAACATACTCTACAGGGGTGTTTCAAACTTCCACCAAATTATCAATATTTTGTTTTCCCTCGTATAATTGACAGACAGGAACTTTTGTTTTTAATTTGTATAGAGGAACTAAAATTTACGGTTTGGTATGAAATTATTTTTTTCACTCAGTAGTTTTATACAGGTACGGACGAAAATTTATTACTCTTCAAACCAGTTAAAAATATGTAGGTGACGCCCTCTACAAGTAGAAGTCATATTTACATCAAAATCAAATTCAAAAAACTCCTAGACACCAATTTTTATGCACATATTGACGTTACTTTAGAAACTATTTTGAAAAAATCGAAATAAAAATGAAACTTCTAGACCCTGTATCTCCGAAACTAAGCATTTTCGGACATACATTTATACGAACTTTTTTACTTATTTTTTACTGCATTTTATATGCAGAATAATGCTGCCGAAGTTTCCGGAATACAGTTCGGACCACCCTGTATATCATGCCGGTATTCTTTTGTAAGAACAACGCAGGCGGTTGTTTAGCCCGTGCTTTTAAAAATTCGTTATTGTCTAGGTACCACTTCCAAACAAATATAAAAGTGTTTGATAGTCATATCCTTGATTATAGATAGACAAGGGTCATATATGTAATGTTTGTGATACATTTTTAGGAGAAAGTATTAGAAGAAGTTTTGGAAGTAATAGGTCCTGATCGACGTGTACAGTACGACGATCTACAACATTTCAAATACCTGGAAAGGGTGGTGAAGGAAACGATGAGGGTATTTCCTATTGTCCCTATGATAGTTAGGGCACTGGATGCCGATATAGATATAGGTGAGTGACATCTGTCTTTTAAAGCTGCAAGAATCACAGCATAGAAGAGAAAAACTGTAGTGTTTGGCTTATTTTACAGGGTTAATTGAAGGGTTTTTTTTACCCTAACTTTTAAACACCCTGTGCAATAATTTTGTGAGTAACTTTTCCCCAAACATTATTTTTCGATCAGATCCATGTCTCCTAAGCATTTTCTTGCCATCAACAATTTGCAATTTTTTCAACTTTTTACAACAAATTTTATGATGTTATTTTTTAATATCACGAGGTGGCTTTGGTGACTTATTATCGCAATTTGGTGATATTATCGCAATGTCATATCGACACTGATTAGAACTCTATACTAAAATTTAAAAAACGTTAAAAAGTAACGATACAGGCTTGATTTTAATAAATATTAGTAACACTAACAGATCTAAGAATATTAAAAAAAATAATAACTGCAAAACACAAAAAATATATAGTCTAATACTTTGTATTGCCTCCCTCGGCTGCTATAATTGTCTGTAGACGTCGTTCATACCATAGATTTAAAAATTAAAAGTTCATACTGTTAATGAGGCTGCAAACATTGTGTTGTCTTCCCATTCTTCTTCAAGGCTTCAAGGACCCAGCGAATATTCATAATTTCGGCCATATTCAACAAAATCAATGAGGCATGTGTTGACATGAGTCAAGAAACAAAATATTCTGGAGACATGATTCTGACCGAAAAATAATGTTTTAGGAAAATTTGCTCACGAAATTATTGTACAGGGTGTTTTAAAGATAAGGTAAAAAACAATTCTTTGATTAACCCTGTATAATAAGTCAAATATTGAAGTTTATAATAAACTGAGTTTACGAAATAAAATTGATATATTTATATACAGTTTGCTAAAAAAATCAAAGAAATAGGGCTAAAAATAAAAAAATATAACATTTTAAAAACAAGACCAAACATTTTTTCGTTGCGTTTTTTTGGATCTGAATGTAATAAGGTTAAATCTAAATAAAACAATTTTCAAATTATTTGTACCATTTTAGGTGAGCACGTACTACAAAAAGGTAGTTCCGTAGTTTTTGGAATCCTACAAACTCACAGGAACGAAGAATACTGGCCAGATCCACTTAAATTTGATCCAGATAGATTTCTTCCTGAAGAAGTCGCTAAGAGGCCGCCTGGTTGTTATATTCCTTTCTCATTTGGCCCGAGAAATTGTATAGGTAGGTAGAAATTATTTTTGTTAATCAGACTATAACCATTTCAGAACTATGACAGTTATATCTGTCATTTTGAAAATGTTACAATTTCTAAACATCACTTGGCGGCAACGGCCTAGCTACGTCGAAACACCGGTTCCCATTAGAACACCGAAGTTAAGCGACGTAAGGCGATACTGTTGGATGGACGGGTGACCGGTTCGAAACTCTGTATCGTGCTGTTGTCCAAAAAAAGGTAAAAGTGTAAAATCTATTGACACACACTGCTCATTCACGCCGGTTCGAGGCCGGATGAGATCGGATATCTCGTGAGTAAGAGTCGATTTAGACACTTGCCAAGTCGGTAGGCCATTGACCATGATATGGCCGAGGACCGCAGTTCGGATTCCGCGTAAACAATGTTGGCCCCGTCCAGATTAGCCCTGGCAGCAAAAAGGAGACGTTAACTTCAAATCTTTACTTTTAAACATCACTTGCATCTCGGTTTTTTGACAACTGGCCAAAAATGTAAAAACCACTTTGATTTTATCCTCGAATGACTTTCCCAATACATGGGATTAACCTCGGGATTAACCATTTTTCTTTTAAAAGATTTAAGTCTTTTATGAGATTTAAGTCTTTTTAGAATAGATTTAAGTCTTTTTTCATATATTTTTATCGTAAATTTTTAACAGCGGCATCAAATATGTTTTTACCATCTTTAGTTTCATAAAAAGTAGCAACTGTAAAAACAGTATCTTTGTACCGCTGCTCATAAACGAGAAACCCAGTAAAACACACAAAAATGGGACAACCTGTACTTGTAAGTACGGCAAAATTTAATTTTATTTAAGTTGTTGATGTTTTTATATGTGTGTTTTTATGTTCTTCGTGCTTTATTTTTTTATTGCTTATTATAGTTGTTTATATAATATTTTATTCTAATCTGTATCTACAATAAATTAATATAGATAATAAAAAAATCGGTAATGGGTAATACAAAAAAGTTAATTTTAACATTTAAAAAATAGGTATTTAAATTGAATTCTCGTTGTCTTGACTTAAGATGGATACAAGCCAATGTCTTGGTTGTTTGTTGAGCGATATTTTTTATTTTTGACAGGAGGTTCTATGGCTAAAAGAAGTACATTTTGTCCAGGGTAAGAAATGCGATACCTCATAGACGTACGTTTTAATGGGGTTTGATATTTTTCGAGTTGAGAGTAAATTACCCTTAGGACAGTATTTATTTCAAATCTGATAAATTATATTGAATCCTCCTTACCTAAGATACTTAAGTTCTAATTTGGATAAATATTGATACAGGGTGTGTCATTAAAATAAGACATTTTTATTTTTAATATTATTTTTTTAAGTACTTACGACGCCACTGAATAAACAACTGGTTTATTATCAGTAACCAATTATAACTACTTATCAATTAATAATCGTTTTTTTTATGGTGGTTTGGTCGAAGATGTTGACTTTTAGTTCGTTATAGTTTTATAAATCTTTGTTTAGAGCATATTTTTCAAAGTTAATAGTGATTTTTTTAAATATCTAACTATTTAGATTTTTTAAAATATTCCTCAATAAAACGAATAAAAATCATATTTCAGATTCCATTGAAAACTGGGTTTTTAAATTATTTTGTTATATTATATATTATATATTATATATTATAAACTCATTTTATTAGCAAACTTAAAAAACAATTTTTTAAAGTAAACAAAATAAATTGAAAATACTAAACGTTTTCTAACCCAGTGTGAGTACATATTATCAAAGCAAACCTTTGAACGAGGGTAAAGTAGATGAATTTACTAACGGAATTTACTTCGGGAATTTACTACTTCCTAAGTAACTTTTGTCTTTGGGCCTGAAGATGGGAATATTTTAAATTCCCGAAACATGTCGCCCCCCTTGCTTTTTTAAGCATTAATTTTTTTTTTAAAATAAACAACTTAAAGATTGTGAGTTATTGTCCTTTTACCCTCCTTCAAAGGTTTGCTTTGATAAATTGAAAATGTTTATTTTTTTTGTATCGTATCTTAATTATTATGGAAGCTATCTGAAAACTTAAATCGATTATTAATTGATAATTGGTTATAATTGGTTATTGATAATAAACCAGTTGTTTATCCAGTGGCGTCGTAAGTACTTAAAATAATAATAAAAATAAAAATGTCTTATTTTAATGACACACCCTGTATCAATATTTATCAAAATTAGAACTTAAGTATCTTAGGTAAGGATTATTCAATATAATTTATCAGATTTGAAATAAATACTGTCCTAAGGGTAGTTTACTCTTGACTGGAAAAATATCAAACCCCATTAAAACGTACGTCTATGAGGTGTCGCATTTCTTACCCTGGGCAAAATGTACGTCTTATAGCCATACAACCTCCTGCCAAAAATAAAAAATATCGCTCAACAAACAATCAAAATATTGGTTTGTATCCATCTTAAGTGGGACACCCTGTATATAAAATAATATCCCTCAAGTCAAGACAACGAGAATTCAATTTAAATACCTATTTTTTAAATGTTAAAATTAACTTTTTTGTATTACCCACTACCGATTTTTTTTTATTATCTGTATTAATTTATTGTAGATACAGATTAGAATAAAATAGTTGTTATTGTTGAAAGAACTATTAAATCTCAATCGTAGAAAAATAGTATGTATAGGTACTTATGAAAAAATAAAAAAATCGAATAACATTTTTCAAAATACGACCAAAAAAACCGATTCTTAACCAGTCATCCAGAATATAAAAATGAGCGTCATTATGAAGAAATAATAATCATTTATGGTACCATATAATTACCGTCCAAACATACATTAATATAATGAAGCAAGCTAATGAAATTACAGTCTTATTTAGCCTCTGCTCTACTTTATGGCCAAATTCTGCTGTAAGAGGGACAGCCTGACATTGAATTCAATCCTTGCTTAAATATTCAAACTGTTATGAAATTCTTATATACCGTTGTTTCAAGATCAATACGGAGATTCCAATCTAAATTTCATCATTTCTTTCATAAAAAAAACGAATTTCAATGTTTTATTTATTTTACTTTCGTATACATGGTGTTTCGTAAGTAGTATAAGTAGTGTAAAAAATTTCACGGTGTGCATGTGTTTTGGGACTTCTTGGTATTTTTTAATTGAACAACCTTTTTTCCATGATTGGACTTGTAATAGTTTGGGTTAAATGTTTAAGAAAATCTACACATCCCTTTTTTTAGACATTTGTATAGCCTTTCGTGTATCATATACAGGGTGGCGCACCTCATTCGCCTCGGTATATGTAGAGAAGCAATGTGCATAATTTAAAATCATTTTTAAATGTACAGGGTGGGTCAAATTCGACACTTTTAAATGGAAACACCCTTTTGTATAGGAGATAGACAAAAACTAATATCGGTGTCTGGAGCTCAATTTTTGTCAAAAGTATGATGGTGAAAACCGCATATCGATATCTGTTACCGTTTCGGAGTTACGGGGTGTTTTTCAAAAATGTGCATTTTTAACAAATCGCTGTAACTTTTTTGTTATGGAAAATTTTTTATTTTTATGAAAACATTTTCAAAGCACATTTTTACGTAGAATTTAATGGTTTAAGTATAATTTTTTTAAAATTAATAATTCAAGAATTATCAACAGAAAATTTGATTTTTTATATGGGACACACTGTATATTTTCAATTTATTGAAAAGAATTTAAAATTACCTTTCCAAAAATATAACACACTTGATATTTTGCTCGATTCCTCTTCGAGATATAGAGTATATAAAAATTCGCCCTCTTTAAGTAAGTAGGCTTTAAATGGCACCGGCTGTAATGCAAAAAAATTCTAGCTGTTAGCATCAATTAAAACGAAAATAATATTTGCTATGAGAGATGCGGAATTTTATAACAATTTAAAATATATTTAACCAACATCAACACATTTAAACTATATCTAATAACAATAAAAATACAAAACATGAGATTTTGCTACAGGTGTTCGACATATCGACCGTCTTCTGTTATGGACAGACGGGACAGTTTTTGAACATTTCTCGCGGAATTCAACTCAGTGGGGGTAAAAGATACCCTCTCATAACTGCTAAGTATTTCTAATTCTTGTCTAGATTATACGGAAGAATAAGGAACCTTTATTCTTCCGCAAATATATCCATAGGATTAGATCCATGGGCACTAAGTAAGGCGGCCTCGACGGTTAACGGCTGGGATCTTGGTTATCTATTCAATTATTCTTGAAATTGGCTGCAAAAATTTGCTGATAACTTCAGCGTTCAGAGGCGGTGCGTCGTCTTGCTGGAAAAATATGTTTTCGAGTTCCATTAAGGGCATATCATCAATAAGGGATCCAAAGCCTACTAGTTAAAAGTGGCGAACTTTTAAAAATTCTGTATTTCGAAAGGGATTATAACAAAATATCAAGTATGCTATATTTTTGGAAAGGTAATTTTAAATTCTTTTCAGTTAATTAAAAATATAGAGGGTGTCCCAAATAAAAAATCAAATTTTCTGTTGATAACTTTTAAATTATTAATTTTAAAAAAATTATACTTAAACCATTAAATTCTACGTAAAAAGGTGCGTTGGAAAAGTTTTCATAGAAATACAAAATTTTCCATAGCAAAAAAGTTACAGCGATTTGTTAAAAATGCACATTTTTGAAAAACACCCCGTAACTCCGAAACGGTAACAGGTATTGATGTGCGGTTTTCACCATCATGTTTTTGATGAAAATTGAGCTCCAGACACCCATATTAGTTTTCGTCTATCTCCTATAGAAAAGGGTGTTTCCATTTAAAAGCGTCGAATTTGACCCACCCTGTACAGGGTGTATATTTAAAGATATTTAAATATGCATGCTATAATAAATAATTTTGTCAACACATTGTACATTATTTTTAGAGTTAATTCTGGTGCTGACTTTGAAGCCAGAGAAATAAGTTTTACTAAAAAATTTGATTGCTTCGTTAAATGTATACAGGAAGAACATTTATATCTGCTTCGACTTATTTAAAAAAAATACATAGTGTTGCATTTGAAATAACGAAGTTTTCATGTAAAATAAATATTTAAAATAAGCCAGCACTTTTTGACACCCCTGTATACATTTAACGAAGCAATCAATTTTTTTAGTAGAGCTTATTTCTCGGGCTTGAAAGTCAGCACAAGAATTAACTCTGAAAAGTAATGTACAAGGTGTTGACAAGTTATTTTATGTCCAAAAAGTGAAATCCAAAAATGAAATATAATACCGGGTTTCATAAGAAAAAATATAACTTTGGTATGGATCTTAGTTCTGACACACCCTGTACATTTCGGAATAATTTTAAATTATGCACATTGCCTTTCCACATATACCCATAAAATATTTTGTTTCTATATCTTTCCGTTTTCGGATAATCAACCGAGGCGAATGAGGTGAGCTACCCTGTATATCCCGTGTATTAATTTTTCTTTATTGTCCAATAATTATCCATCCTTTTCGAACAAAATTGATCTCCTGAGTTTTATTTTCCCGTAAACCGTCCAAAATAGAAAAAAAACTAAAGAGATCAATTTTGTTAAAAAATATAAAACGCTATGGCGTACAAAAAAGTGGCTATAATTTGAATTAAGTACCATATATAGAAGCTATTAATTCTTTTCTTATCTTTTCTTATTTTCTTATTATCTTTTTAGGTATGAAGTATGCAATGATGACAATAAAGGCTCTTGTAGCTACAGTTGTACGAAAATACAAAGTTTATTCAGATTACAAGAACATTGAAGAGGTAGAACTGAGAAGCAACCTAGTCCTGAGAACGAAGAATGGCTTTAAAGTCCATTTTGAACTGAGAGAATAATGCGAATTGTATAATCACTTTTTTCATTGTAATTGACCTATGTACATAGTTTATATTAAGTAAATAATATTATAGCAACTATTTTTTAGCATTAAAATCATTGTAAATCGTCATTCTTAGCTTATTCAACCATTTCCAATTATGGTGTAGCCTCCCTCACATATTTAGACACTCTCTTGGCTATGCGGGGCCAAGTTATCCCTGCTAATTCCCTAATATATCATGATCCCATGTCAGGTTTAGTCTTCTAAGTCTATTAAACCCTCGTGGGTACCATAATGTAATTTTTCTGATCCATCTGTTGTCCGTTCTTCTTGCTAGTTATCCTCCCTATTGCCATTTGAGGGATTTGACTCTGTAAATGACCTGGGTCTTTTGTTGTATCCGTTCTATTCTTTTACGGTCTTTCTTGGTTATTCCCAGCGTAATTATGTTGGTGAAACGTAAATAACGTAACACCATAGATAAATGAAATAAAAGGAAAGCTCGTTGGAAAGCCCGTCAAAATATATAAATGTTTTGGGTGCGACCGTTGTACGCGATTTGGCGCTGCTATGGGGGTTGCTAAGAACAACCGCCAAGCAATAACAGAAATAATTTTCTCTTGTCAAAGTCGGAATGTTCAAAAATTATAAAATCTTTCAAAATTTAAACCGCCCTCATTGAAAAAATACCGAAAAATGTTTATAGCATCCATTCTCAAAGTAATTATTGCTATTTTGTGAGTTTAATTTAAATTTTACTTACTCAAACCCGTGATAATTGTGAAAAACTGGCATTATAAACTAAAAAACTATGTTGTGAACTGTGAACTGCAAAAACCATCGTGGATCGCGGCATAACGTGGGTTTCCAATGTTTCATATTGTCCTTATATAAAATAAAGTTTCTTGTATGCAAAAAACTGTATTTTATTTATAAAATTAAAAAAAAACAATAATAATAAATTCGAATAAATAATATTTGGCGACATAATTCCGGAAAAAGCCGAACCGATTCGAAATTATCAAAAGCTTTGGGTCGCGACCGTTGCAGGAATAGCGCACTTTCCAATCTAAACTTGTTTCATTTATCTATGGTTATTGTTAAAGTATCACATTTTCTGATAACCATTTTACCCGTTCCGTAGTATTGAACTAAATAAATTGTGTGCTTGATAACTTTTAAACACTATTTTTTTCAAAATATTCTTCACGAAGAGAAATGCATTTTTGCATCTGCTGGAACCAATTCTGAAAACAGTTATTCCATTGGCTTGTTGGCACCTTTAAAATTTCGTTTTTGAAGGCGCTGTCATCTTCTAGAGACTGGACCCTGTGACCACGCAGTTAATTCTCAATTTTCGCAGAAGTGAAAAAGTCGATAGGTTGTTTTTCGAGCTGTGTGGGAACTTGCATTATCTTGCTGAAGGATCATTCGTCGTTGAGGGTTAGTTTTCCGGAACTCAGGCAAACGAATAGATATGTACCAATCAGCAGTAACAGTTCTTTGATCTTGCAGGGAATTGTAGATACATGGCCCGTTTTTGAGACAAATGTCGCCACCATCTTTCTGGAAACACTTGAGAACGGATAACTTTCGTCGGTTTTGGGGGTTTATTTTCGGGTTTATAAAAGTGAATTCAGGATTCGTCACCACAAGACAATACTGTATATATTTTGTGAGTTTCTTGCATTAGTATACTCTTTCCCTCAACAAAAGCTATTTTTTTATGATTAATTATTTCTTTTCTACCTAACTATACAGGGTGGTCCGAATTGTATTCCGGAAACTTCGACAGCATATTCTGCAGATAAAAATAAGTAAAAAAGTCCGTATAAATGTATGTCCTAAAATGCTTAGTTTCGGAAATACAGGGTGTAAAAGTTTCATTTTTATTTCGATTTTTTCCAAATAATTTCTGAAGTAACGTCAATATTTGGATGGAAATTGGTATCTGGGAGTATTGTGACACGATAAATTTGATTTTGATGTCAAAATTACTCCTATTTGTAAGGGGCGCCACCTACATGTATTTTAACTGTTCTGAAGAGTAATAACTTTTCGACCATACCTGTATAAAACCACTGACTAAAAAATATACATTTTCATGACTTTTTATGTAAAAAATGTCTCTTGGTAAAAATCGCTACGAGCAACCGTTCTTAAGATATTTAGAATGGAAATAGTCAATACATGTCATTATTGACAAAAAATAAGCACACGTTGAGTATAGTAATTTGGCTGAAATAATAAATTTTAATTTTTTTAAATTAATCATAAGTTTTTCTGCGAAAAAATGATGATTAAACAATTTCTTTTGAACTTTTGACACAGAAAGATTTCAAATTTATGATTTCAGTCTAATTACTATTTAGTCAACATGTTTAATTTATGTCAATGATGACAGGTATTGATAATTTCGATTCCAAATATCTCGAGAACCATTACTCGTAGCGATTTTTACCAAGAGACCTTTTTTATGTAGAAAAAGTCGCAAATGTAAATTTTTTTACTCAGTAGTTTTATACAGGTACCGACGAAAAGTTATTACTCTTCAAAACAATTAAAACACATGTAGGTGGCACCACCTACAAATGGGAGTCATATTGACATCAAAATCCCCAAATTTCTCATGTCAAAAAACACCCATCCACCAATTTTCATCCAAATATTGGCGTTACTTTAGATTATTTGGAAAAAATCGAAATAAAAATGAAACTTCTACACCCTGTATCTCCGAAACTAAGCATTTTAGGACATACATTTATACGAACTTTTTTACTTATTTTTATCTGCAGAATATGCTGCCGAAGTTTCCGGAATACAATTCGGACCACCCTGTATATTGTTAAACAAAATATTTGAATATTTTTTTGCTTATTTCAACCAGTTAAAATTACTTTCTAACGATATTTAAAAAAAACAATTTTATGGTTTGTCGCGATATATTTTAATTGTTTATCACAAACATCAGATGATTATATCAAATTAGTGTGACTATATATTAATATTAATTGATTGTAGGTATTTTCAAAAACTGGTATTGCAGTTATTTAGTTAATATTACTCATTTTAATATGTAGTTGTAGCGTTTTGTAGTTAAAAAATATAAAAAATATCTATTAAACGAAGTTATTATAATCTTGTTATTATAATTAATATTTCATATTCATCCTATATTTTACAAAAAAAATATCGATACAGTCTAAATACAATTTTTCACAATAAAACAAGTATTTGAAAGACATTTCTGTGAAATATTGTTCCTTAATTTTTACTTTACACAAAAAGAAAATATTGATTTGTATGAGTATCGATAGTAATAAGTGCTAATAGTGCAGCAAATTTTCAATTCATGATATTTAAGAGCTATGAAAATTAAATGTAAGTATTAATATTTTCCTTCATAGTCGTAAAAAAGCTTAAGGTAAGCACACACAAAATGCAAAACTGTGCCCTTAATCAGGGTAGAGCCCTTAATCATTTTCTCTAAGACCCCCACAGCTGCTCAGTCTTTTTGCACAGTCCGTCTGTGGAAACATTTGTGCAGTTAGTTTGGTTTGTTTAACAAATCACCAGACAACACTGCCAGTGTAGCCAACTATTTAAGTGACTCCTCACCAAATTGTGTCTTCGAAACCACCAGAAACCACTAAAATTTACTATTTTCTCATTTGAACAGCTTGCCGATATGCCTGCAAAAATTAGGTTTGCACTGGCGGCCTGTGCGAAAAAACTAAACGTCTGTGGAGGCCTTTAAGTTTCTACGTTACATCTCAAGAGAAAGACGCTTTAACTGTCTATTATTCAAGTTTAAAAAATTTATCTTTCATTATTATTTTCACAAATAAATAATCTTAGATAACTCAAACTATATAGGTAACATAGTATAACATAATATCATTCAATAGAGTTCTTTTGTGTCGGTAGCTGTCAGGATGTTTCATTTTCTTGGCTATAACTTATTTTAATGTTTTAAAATTTTATTAAGTATGGAATAAAAGTTTTTGAATTTGATGCTTTCAAAACGGATTCATTTAACTCAAATTTTCTGTTGTCTATTTTGTCTGCGACATAAGTTTATGTTATTTGAAAGAACTACCTAAAACTAACTAATTATTTGTTATTACGCAAAATACAGGGGCGGATTCTGACTTTTCAAGAAATCAATAAAACAGTATATCTTAAGCTCCGCCTACACATAAGGTATTACTTGTCAGTATTTCAGTCAAAACGTATCACAAGTATTTTGACAGTTTTATGTATGGAGTGTAGAGATGAGGAGAAATATCTCTTCTGGGACTTTATTGGAAAAAGTGGTCACAAAAATGGGAAGAATAAGGGTTCACCAAATAACCACAGTGGCGCTAATGACGTATAAATCTAAAAAATAAAAAGTAACCATAGATAAGAGAATAAAAGTAACATAACCAAATATTACCCAAAAAAACTTTGTTTTTATTTTTTAGAATATAAAACAATTATTTTTATATATTAGAGGCCCAGTCTATTGCTGTTAAATAAAAATCAGCGAATGAATAAAATCCATTATTAATTTAATGTGACATGAAAATAAAATTTGTATTTTTTTGAAACCCGCCGGAGAATGTCGTAAATAACGAATACATACAAATACACGGGTTTAAATGGCGAGTAAACGAAAAAATTAGTATAAAATTATTCTAAAAGTGTTAGAAAGTATAATTTGTGGAAATTCCAAACAAAAAAATAAAAAAGGTAAATATTTGGATGTCTTTAGAAGGTGTAACGGGTGTAACTTGCATTATAATTTATTATTCTAGCTAAAAAAGTTTTTAGATGAGTTGAACTACGGTAGCGAGCATAGTTTTATCACCGGTTTTGCTAGTGGGGCATAATTGGAGCTATTTCGGCTATAACGAAATTTTTTAAAGGTACGTAATTATAATTTTAGAAGATGTTCATAAAACATTTAATCACTAGTTGATTAAAAAAGTATACCATTAATATTGCAATTTATATTTCATCATCTCATAGTATATGTCTATTTAATTTTTTTATTATGTAACGAGCACTTTGTTTACTCAGTTGTTCCGTCGAACTGTTGGAATCCATTTTTGCTATTGATCAAATCAG